AACATGTCTTCACGAATTCCCTTACAAATGATGTCAATGAATACACCAGATTATTCTTCAATAATGTATGAACCATCATATTGTAATTGTTGTTATTATGAAAATCAAGATGTATATATGGAAAATTCTTATCAAACATTTGATGAAAATTCAAAAGATTTAAAAAAGAAATCAACACGTCGTTCGAAACATATTCCACATCATCTTCGACCACAACATATTGTTGAACGACGAAATCGACGTGAACGATTACGTGTACAAGATGTTAATCAAGCATTTTATACACTTCAACAACTTTTACCATCGGATTCAAATTCAACAACATCAAATAATAATCAAGAACAAATGGATGCAACACGAAATTCATCTCGTACATCAAAAGTTTGGACACTTCGAAAAGCAGTGGATTATATTGACGCACTTCAAAAAATGTTATATGAAAATAATTAACTTTCTATTTTTATTTTATTTTATTTTGAAATATAAGTAGTTTATTATTCTATCTTTTCATTGTATATTAATGAATATAATTTTAAAAAATAAAATCATATTTCGTGAAGAATATAAATTAAAGTTTTAATATTCATTCATGAAGAATTAATGTTAAAAATTTTGATGAATAATGATATAGTTACTTTATTATGTAGTCTGATTTTTTGAAGGAAATTGCAAAGAACTGATACTTTTTAATTATTATTCAACACTTTTCATTTCGACTGAATAATTTCTTTGGTTCAAATGGCTTAAAGCGGCGGTCTATTTTTAGTTATGTCGAATACAATGTATTTGATACTATTATCATGAAGGAATTTTGATGGAGTCGATAGTGCTTACAATAAAAGAGTGTTACTGTATTTTGTGTTTCACTGTTGCATGCTTTACAATTTCTTTAAAAATAAAACCTAAATGCAGATCATGTTTTATTAAGCATAAATGTTGGATATTCTCATAATATTAGTTTAACTAAATGACATAGGTATTCGACGGCTTTTTCTTCTTTTTCATTGTGTGACTGAAACATTTCTGCGTATGAAATATTCGGAAAAAGAGAATTGGTTGTATCGGAATAAATTACAATTTTTTAATTCTTTAATAAATTAAAAAAATACTTAATCAGGTAGAATACTTCCTTATTTTTTTTAATATGATAGGTATCAATGAAGTGACCAGTTTTTGTTAAATGATATCGAGGTGCTTGTTTCGCCTGTTGATAGAGACGAAGTTAATCTAGCTGTGCTAAAAAAATCACATTTTTACTGAATCTAACGCCAGAGAACGAATTAAAACAAAATCGAATTTTGAACTTCTGATCCGAATTTCTGTAACGGACCCTATCTTTTTTGATAGACACTATTTTTTCATTGTTCGTTATATTATTTAACGTATAGTATATGAAATAAATATAAAATAAGTATAACACTTAAAAAATTACTGAAAACAGCTTCTTTTAATTAAAAGAGCACTACAAGGACAATTCAAATGGACACCATGAATAATACGTTCGGAACAGTTCAGAACACGCTCGTCTGTATTAGTTTTCGACGTGGGTTGTAACTTTTTTTTTCAGTTGAAACTGACCATGCTGGAGGAATACGTACAAATTCAATAGGCAATTCCCTAATCAACACTGAAAATGTTTCTAAATGAATACGTTCATGTTCAAAACCCATAAGTAATGCCCACATTGGTTTATCAATACTAATTGGCATGTGTTCATCATTCAATAATGGATGTGTTTCGATTATTTGGTAAATAACTTGATATACTTTAGCACGATATTGATGTACTTCATTTATCGTTGGCCAAATATTATCGTTACCTTCATGTAAATCATCCCATCTCATTTCATCGACACCAGTTTCAAATAATTTTTCATATTCTTCATTTATTCCAACATTAAGTATACCGGCTACACGTAGTTTATTTATATATACGACAGCTGGATGACCATAATAAAAGATCATTGGATGACGTAATTTATGATAAGGACGACGATAATATGCTTCTTCATTTATTAATCCATCGAATACGACTTCAGTTAATGTCCATGTATTATCAAAATAATCGAGTAATTCTTTTCGAGTAGCATTTGATTTTACTTGAGGTAAAGGTTTGATTGAACCATTCGGCTCAACACCAGGACAAATACCATAAATAGGTGGTTTACCAGTCCAAAAGGAAGAAGTACCAATAATATCATGGGAAGTTGAAATACCAGGCATAGTTTGATGAAAATATTATATAATGCAGACGAACTAAAAAATTGTAAATGTTGAAAGATGATCAGCATAGTAGTTTATATAGTGGATGTGGGTGTTGTATATTGATACAGTATCGTTATTCACACCCACACCCTAGTAAATAAAAATGAGTCAAATGATGTCATTTAGTTTCATCATTTATTATTACCTTGATTCATGACGTCAGTCAAGGATAACCTAGATATTCATAAATAGATATCGACTACAGAACGAAAGTAATCATTATAATCATCTTTTCTAAATTCTGATTGAGTAATGCCCATGAGATACAATTTGCTTTTAATACGATGCGACGCAAAGTATTTATGTAGTCCTTCGCGAGTTTTCTTACTATCTCGACATACTCATTCAAAGTTGTCATTTTATGTTATGATTATCTCAGTTGAGGATGTAGATGGATGTGAGTAATTAGAACACATATGATACATCCACATCCTAATTCTTAGAATTTCAGATGTATCCAAGTAAATCAATTATATAAATCGATGTTTTTTCGACGAAAGAACAACGTGTGAATGTATACTATGAATTAATTCCATTGTCTAATGTCTTGTAACAAAAATTTTATTTTATTTTTCAAAACTAAGTTATGGTTTATTTTAATAATTGGTTCAGATCATTCAGAAATACTGCTCATTATATGTTTTTTGTTCGTAAATATCACTGGTTTTAAGCTTAACATAAACAAAATCTCACGATAAAATACAAAGCATACACTAATGTACAATTTAATGTGCGATTATATTAATAATTTGATAAAAAAATTAGTTTAAATTCTACTGTCATATATAGTGAAGAGAATGGTCGTTCATAAATAAACTGCATTATTATTATTGCTTTAACTTAGGCAGAAAAGGTTGATTATATATAATGATTTTATATAGTGAAGTTATTCATTGCACATTATATTCTTTTTTCGTTTAGCATTAAACATAAATACGGATGTTACATACAAAGAAGATCTATGTTTGTACGAGTACATTAACTTTTTACTATTGCTATTCAAAATCTGAAAGTATATTTTACAGTTAAGTTCTTTATGGAAATGTTTTATAAGATAGTATGTGATAGTTTTCAGAAATAAATTTTAGTCGAATGTGAACTGCTTCTAAAAGATAACACAAACATATTGATTATTAAAAAAATGAATTTAGACTGAACATAAAATTTCAAAATGTAAACGATCAACTTGTTTTCTCTATTTTATTGATTTCTTCAAAATAGATAAATAGAAGTATTATAACTGAATTCTCGAAAACAAAAAGTCTTGTTAAATAACTTCAATTTTTTATTTTCAGAATTGGCTGATATTGAAATGTTTTACAAAAGTTTACACCTTATCATTCCCGAGTGGCAACGGTGAGAATGGTCAATTAGATGGTTGCATTATAGTTAATTTATTTATTATTTCAAACATCTGATTAGTACGAAAACAAATAACATATAAAGGAAGATTTTTTCATGAATTTTATTCATTTCAAAAATATATCAATACTGGATTTTTTTTTGATTTACTTGAATGTGTATATTTGTTGATCTTTCATATTTCTGATAACATTATATTAGTCATAGAACATGCATGCGCATAGTCTTTGACTTATGAAAATAAAAAGAACATAAAAAGAACAATCGACAACACTTAATAATTAAATGTTTCTTTTTCTGTTTGATAGAAATGGATGTAATTTTTTTCCTCATTGTTCTAACAGAAAATAATTGTAAATTTCCATCATTCTGTAACAATGACTAAAAAAAATAAAGTTCTCTTTAGAGATTTTCTTTGTGGACAAATATTTTAAGAACTATTTCTTACAGATTATTTTTTTTGAAATATCAACAATGACCATACTTTAACGTCCTTTTCGTTTGTCGGTAACCGATAGATATCTCTGATGATACCTGTAACATTTTGTTACGTATATTTAACAAAGATGAAAAAACCAAGTGAAATACTGATAACAGACAAAGCAATGTATATGATGATAAAAAGAACACTCGAAAGAAAATTCTTATATTATAAAATGATACATTATTCTCATTCATTTATAAACATTTCGTCTTGAAGTAGTCTACATTACAACAAACAATGGCAAACAACAAACTAATAACATCTGTTCAAACCAATACACAAGCTAATGCTAAATGCGTATCAAACTTTTCCAAGGATGCAGTTAGAAATCGACATATGAACATGCAAAGAATGCAGAATATGCTCCTGATCTGGTTGGACGACAATATTAATGACAATAATGCTGATTGTAGTAATACAATCAAGCAATTACAACGTTTAGTTAACAACGTAAATACGTTTACTGATCGTGAAGAATGTTTTGATTTTATTCAGACTATTACCAACAATAAGGTATGCATGATTGTTTCCAGTTCACTTGGGCAATATATTGTGCCCCATGTGCATAATATGTCCCAAGTAGATACCATTTTTATTTTTTGTAACAATCAAGAATGCGATAAACAATGGGCCAAAGAATGGCCTAAAATAAAAGGAGTGTTCACAGATATAACATCAATCTGTGAAGCTCTTAAACAAACTGCTCATCAATGTGAACAAAATGCCATTTCGATTAGTTTTGTGGCATTAAACAAGAAATTGGATCAATTAGATCCATCATTCATGTATACTCAGATTTTGAAAGAGATCTTATTTACCATCAAATTCGAAGATAAACATATCAAAGAATTTATTACCTATTATCGTGAAGCATTTGTCGAAAATGAGCATGACTTACATAATATTGAAAAATTGGAACGTGACTATTATGATCAAAGCCCTATTTGGTGGTATACTTATCAATGTTTTTTATATCGTATGCTCAATCAAGCATTAAGATTAATGGATGCTGATATAATTGTTCGAATGGGTTTCTTTATTAATGATCTACATCGTGATATTCAACGACTCCATTCGAAACAATTTGATGGTCAGCAATCTGATAAAACATTTACAGTTTATCGTGGGCAATGTCTTTCAAAAGAAGATTTTACCGAAATGACAAATACTAAAGGTGGACTTCTTTCATTTAATAACTTTCTATCAACTAGTAAAGATCGCGATGTTTCTCTTTTATTTGCACCACAAGCTGCTACAAATCGTGATCTTGTTGGAATCTTATTTGTTATATCCATTAATCCTACTAATTCAACAACTCCATTTGCTTCTGTTAGAGATGTTAGTCATTTTCATATGGAAGATGAAGTTCTCTTTTCTATGCATACCGTTTTTCGTATTGGAGATATTCAACCAATGGATGGATACAATCATCTTTATCAAGTGAATTTGATATTGACTAACGACAACGATCAAGATCTTCGAACGCTTACTGATCGTATCCGACAGGAGACCTTTCCAGATTCGAAAGGATGGGGGAGATTGGGGTTACTGTTAATTAAAATGGGTCAGTTTAACAAAGCTCAAGAAGTTTATACAGATTTACTTCATCAATCAACAGATGAAAGTGACAAGGCCCATATTTATCATCAGCTAGGTTCGATCAAAGATGAACAAGGAGAATACCCAGAAGCACTTACATATTATGAAAAATCACTTGCTATCAAACAAAAACCACTTCCTTCCAATCATGTTAATTTGGCTAACACCCATAACAAGATCGCTAATGTGTATGTCAACATGGGTGATTATCCAAAAGCACTTTCATCTTGTAAGAAAGCCCTTGCAATTCGACAACAATCACTTCCTTCCAATCATCCAGA